GTGTGTTTTTTAAAAAGCTAAAGTGGATAGAGAGAAATACTTTTAACTCATGGTATATGGAGGGGATTATAATCAACGTAATGAAACAAGTTATATGAATGGTTGAATGTGAAACTGATGATGTGCACTGTAAACTTTCACTCAATCCACAATAAAAACCTTAAATTAAAAAAGAAAATGGTGCAGCCTGGTGCCAGGCACTGGATACAAGTGTCATCGCTTTCTTGTTACTGAGTGCTCCAGCTGTAAGCTGCCACGCGCCCTTCTAGACAGTTTGCTTCAGGAAGTCCAGGATATGCATAAATAGCTTCCTGATGTGACGTCACATGGTTCCTAATATGAAAAAGCTATGAATACCCCCAGTGCAATTTACCATGGAGGCTTGGCTATAGGAAGCTATGACTAGCCACACAGATTACTATCGGCACGGTCACTAAACTGTTAATGTGAAATACAGGTGTCCTGGTGGTGCAGTGGATAAAGCAAACTTAAAGGTTGGTGGTTTGAATCCACCAGCTGCTCTATAGAAGGAACATGTGGCAGTAGGGTATCTGTAAAGATGATCTTCATGGAAACCCCTGGGGGCAGTTCTAATCTGTCCTATAAGGTTGCCACTGTGTTGGAATCAACTCAATGAAAACGGGTCTGGTTTGGTTTTAGTACATGTGAAGACTAGAAATGGCAAATGTTTTACTACCTATATATTTGTCACAATACAAACAACAACACACAAAAAACCCTCACAATATACCTAATTAATATGGAAAGATGTTTAAACACTGTACAAAAGCACCAGAATACTGTGAGTAGTGAATTCCTGCTCTTAGAAAGCAGGTGCGCGCACATCCGCACACAGATATGTAGCCATGGAAGAGGCTGAGCAACGCAGGTGCCCTATTCATGGGAACACGAAATTCCTTGGGTGGTGGAATTGAGGGATTTTCTGGGGTTTTTTTGTGTGTTTCCTTTGATTTTTCAAATTTTCTATAACACGTCTCTTCAGTGATTCAATATTCAACATTACCCAGCTAATGTCCCAGAATGGGGGCCCCATTTTGCCTCTACCCTCAGCTAGAGGCCTCATTTCTCCATCCCCACGCAGGACTCCAGCCATAGGATGACAGGAAGGACTATGGAGTCTTTGGGTCATACCCCCCCTCCTCCACCAACGCACTTACTGTCGGAGAAGCTGCCGCCCCTCCTTCCACACCAGCGGGCTGTTCTCCAGGGTGACGGATTCCACAGGGCCATTGGAGACTGCTGGGGAGAGAAAGCAGGCAGGCTGTCTTGGTCACAGCCCCACAACTTCCCACTCACCCCTCCTCCTCTTTCTCCATCTTGCAAATCCACATCAGTCACGGAGTCGGGCAGGGTCCACTTCCGGAGTGGTCTGGAGCCTTCCTACTCCTCCAGGTCTGAGTCTCCTCCCTCAATGTGCTCCCCATCTCTCTCTATGCCTCACTCCATCCCCAGCTCAGCTCTAGTTACGCCATTTTACTCCTCACAACGCTGGCCTGGTTCGAAGAGCGCAGCCCTGGGTTCAAGTCCTGCTCCACCACTTCTCATCTGAGCCTTTCGGAGCCTCAGTCTCCTTGCTGAGAAATGCGGTCAATTAGAGCAGCATCTACCTCCTGGGATTGCTATAGGTTTCAATACTTCCTTTCAGTCAGCAATCTTCATTCAGCACCTACTATGGGCCTGGCTGGGTGCCTGGGCTACACCTGTGAGCAAAGACCCCTGTCCCCAAGGGTCCTGACAGTCCAGCAGGCGTCTTCTTACAATAAACAACATCAGTATAGCCCAGCCCTGAGGGCCTTCACAATGTCCCACTTTCTACCCACTCTGCAGCCTCCATGGGTTCCCCTACTCTGCCGTGCTCTCACGGCTCCATGTGCCTGTCCTCAAGCTCCCCTCTACCTGGGGGACTGATGCCCCTTCAAGGAACTGAGACTCTAAGTGACCATAAGGCAGGGACCGTGTCCCTCTTGCCGGTTTCCTGATCTTAAACACAAAGTCAACGCCCAACAGACAGGGTGCTCACAACACAACAGAAACGCCCCTGTCAAATGCTGTCTCTTCACAGTGCCCTGCTGGGTATCTGTCTGGCCTTCCACAGAGGGACAGCCGGCAGTCATACTTCCAGCACAGCCCAGACTCCTCCCCAGCCCCATGGCCAACTTTCCTTTTATTTTTGGGGGGCAGCTGGGAGAGAGCAAAGAAAGATGTGCCTCCAGCTTTACACCTCTTCATGGCATTCTGCTTTTGGGGAGGGAGTGGACAAGGCAGGGGAAGTCAGAGAGTGGTACCTTGTTCGGGAACGTCTGGTTTCTTCTCCCCCTGGTTCAGGTCAGTCCCAAACTTGAGTTTATGATATTTGGCCCTAAAAGAGAAAATGATTATGATATAATCATATATATTATAATCATTGTTGTTGTTGTTGTTAAGTGCCATCGAGTCGGTTCCGACCCATAGCGACCCTGTACAGGGTTTCCGAGGGTGTAAATCTTTACGGGAGTAGAAAGCCTCATCTTTCTCCCGCGGAGCAGCTGGTAGTTTCGAACCGCTGACCTTAAGGTTCGCAGCCCGATTCGTAACCATTACGCTACCAGAGCTCCTATATATTATAAATAAATGAGAGACACAGAAGAGCAGACTCACCTCAGATATCCCAAAACTTACCTCAAAAACCAAAAAACAAAACTCATTGCCACTGAGTCGATTCCAACTCATAGCAATCCGACATAGGGTTTCCCAGACTGCGCATCCTTACAAGAGCAGACAGCTTCATCTTTCTTATGAGGAGCAGCTAGTGGGCCAACACCTAAGCCAGTGCCTCAGGACTCCCAAATCCCAGAACCTCTACCTAATCTCCTCTCTGTGTCCAAAGCTGAACTATCTCTACCCTTTCTCCAGCGCCTAGCTAGGAAGGGATGCAGGTGGAGTAGGTGTGATAGGACAGAGTGAACTGTGGTTGAGAAGCCACTTTCTAGAGGCAGGCAGACTGTGTGTCTCCTGGCTTTCTGAGTCTCTGAGGAAGCCAGTCACCCTCCAACAGCCTCAGTTCCTGACAGGAAGCAGCGCTGGTACCATCTCTTGGGGCGACTGGAGGCGCTAATGAGAGAGCGAGCAGAGAGCATGTGCCCTGATGAGTGGCACACAGGGAGCCACCACTTTTACTAGTGCTGCTGCTGATCGCTCCGGAACCCTGCCCCTGGCAATACCCAGGGCCAAGGTGGATTCCCACTCCTCTCCCTGGAGGCCATACGAGCTGGATGACGGGGAGGACACTTGATTCTGGAGCTCCCTCAGCCCAGTCCAGGGAAGCAGGGCAGGGCAGCTTACCTTTCCTGCTTCAGTGCGTATTCCAGCATCTTGATCCGCCGTACCAGGTCCGTCTTTAGATTCTCTTGCCCTTTCCTTTCTCCCTGGAGGAAGGCCACCTGAGCCTGCAGGAGAGAGAGGAGGAGACTGGAAGGGACGGGCAGGGACAGGAGGCCTGTGTGGGATTCAAAGAGCAGTGAGAGAGGACACCAGAGGCTGTTTCTAGGGCCCCTGCCATGGGAGGTCACCCACAGTGGCAGGCCTGAGGGAATACTTAACCTCTGAACTTTTAAGGGTTGCTTAGGGATGAAGCAAGAAGAGGTAGAGATGAACAGCCCTGAACCGCTCCCCCCACCCCGGGCAGGTACTGTTTTCCAGGTTGCTGGTAGCAGCAGCAGCGGCGGCGCTCCACACTGCCTACCACAGCAGCTGTCTCTGGGAGGCGTAGGAAGGTACACTTCAGGAGCTCAGGGACAGAGTGGGTGGCTTGGCTCAGCTCCTGCTCCAATGCCAAAGCTTTACCACCAACTCCCCCTGAGGGAGGAAGAGAGGGGTACCACAGACAGGACCCAGGACGCCTGCCAAGCACATCACACCAGCTGCTGGCTTGGGTGGCCCCAGCCTGCCCTAGTCTGTGAACAGGTCGTTTGGAGGCAGGATCCTGGTCCCTGACCGTATTCAGATGGCCCTTCTGCCAAAGTCCTTGGCACCCAACTCCTTCCCATTGCTCCATCTCCCAGTCCAGGGGCCTGGTGAAGTCACTTCCTGGCTGCCTGACCGCAGGCCTCTGTGCCACCTCTAGGGCATGAGGCTCATAAGGCGCCCACACCTCAGGGGTGTCAGGAGACTGCGTTCCTCTGGATCCGAGGTTTAGCACAGAATGAAGGTGGATAGCTGTGTCAGCTCCGGCACCGCTCTCATGATTTATATCTCCCTGTGCGCCTGTCCGTTCTTCCTCAATTTCAAAGGGGCCTGGACCCTCTGAAATCCCAGATAAGGTACATAGGAGGCTTGTGGACTACAGACCTCCTGCCCTCAAGGGCAGCTGCATCTTCCGGGGGCCAAACTCCCCACACCCTGCATGCCTGCTCGGTAACTTCCCCAACTCTCCTGGAAGTCTCCAGCCTGGCTCCAGACACCTTTTCCATCCCCTGCCTCTTCTCAGGAGTCCTGCTGGTCTAGTGAGTTAAGCATTGGGCTGCTATAACTATAAGCTTGGCAGTTCAAACCCACCAGCTGCTTCTGGGGAGAAAGATGAGGCTGTCTGTTGCTATACCCTAAGGAGCAGTTCCACTCTGGCCTACTTGGTGATGGCAGGTTTGGTTGGTTTGCTCCTCAACGGAACCCCAGTGGCACAATGATTAAGCAATCAGCTACCAGCCAAAAGGCTGGAGGTCCAAATCCACCAGCCGCTTCAGGAGAGGATGAATTAGTCTGCTCCCATTAAGACGACAGTCCTCAGAAACCCGCTGGGGCGTTTCTGCTCTGTCCTACAGGGTGGCTTGGAGTGGGCTTTGGTTTGGTTTGGGCACCCTCTCAAAGCCTAGCTCTGCACACTCCAGGCCCTCTCCTTGGCGCCCACACAGCAGAGCCATCGGCCCTGATCCCTGCGCACAGCCCAACTCTATGCCTACAGCCCTCCCATCCCCTGCCCTGGCCCAGGGACCAAGTTTGGTCTCAGGTTAGCAGAGGATTGAGCATAGGGGAAGTAACCCACAGTATGGGGACAGGAACACGGGCATATACAACTGTTCCCTGTTGGTGGCTCACAGAGAAATTTCTGCTCTGGGCATGCCTTGCATGATCCACCCACCTGGATCTACAAAGATGCCCCCTTAGGCATTGTTTGCAACCGCCAGAGAACTAGAAGAAAATAAATGTCCATTACTATCCGTGGACATCGAGTCAGTTTTGCCCAGAGGGTTTCCAAGGTTGTAAGCTTTATGAGAGAAGACCGCCAGGTCTTTCTCCCACAGCTGGTGGTTATGAACCACCGACCTTTCAGTGAGTAAATAGCTACGAGTTTAACCACTGTGCCACCAGAGCCAAAACCTAAACCTCCTACAATCAAGAAGATTCCAACTTACAGTGGTGGTGGTGGTTATGTGCCATGGAGTCAATTCCAACTCTTAGAGACCAGGTATAGGGTTTCCGAGGCTGTGACTCTTAACAGGAGCAGAAAGCCTCATCTTTCTCCTGAAGGACCACTGGCAGTTTACAACTGCTGATCGTGAGATTAATAGTCCAACTCGGAACCACTACGCTACCAGAACTCCTTTCCAACTTAAAAGGGCTGAGTAGAACCACTCCCTTGGATTTCTGAGGCATTAATCTTTATTGCCTCATCGTTCTCCAAGCAATCACTGGTATATTTGAACCTCTGATATTTTGGTTCGTAGCCAAGTGCTTAACCCACAGTGCCACCAGGATCTTTAAATGTCCATTAGGGGACTAATTTACCAGTGGGCCAATTAAACAAATATTTTCTGTGTAGAATCAAAAACTTGACAGTCCTTTTTTTTTTAAATCCCACATAACTACATACAGGTAGTCACCGACTGATGATGGATTCCAGTTACCAGGAACCACACTTATAAAACTCCAATGGTCAGTTTTTTAATATCTTAATTCTAGTGTGGCGCACTGGACTGCAAAGTTGGTTTGAACTACAAGGTTGGCGGCTCAAGCTCACCAGCCACTCCTCGGAAACCCTGTACACATCACTATGGGTCAGAAGCAACTTGATGGCACTTTAACAACAACATCCTTAGTAATAAGTACTATATTTGATGTTACAGCTGTGTAATTTACTGATGTTACCGGTGTGGCGCTTTAGCAGAAGCACTGAACAGCTAATAGCAAGGTCAGCAGTTCAAACCCATCAGCTTCTCCTTGGGCACCCTCTATAGGGCTGCTGAGTCAGAAATGACTTGAAGGCATTTCATAGCAATAATTCCCCAAAACAAAGACTGGATTTATAAAGATATTGATAATAAAAGGCAGTAAGTAATAATGAAAACAAACAAAAATTCTACTTACATCAGAACTAATGCATGACAGAACCTCTTCCTAATATGGGTATTACCTGTATGCCCAAATACAGTCTTTAGGGGAGCAGAGCCAAGTTCAACATTATAGGAATAGGGTGTCTCCTTGTAAGTAAATAAGAAGTGATATATGTGTACTAATGCGTAACAAATGTGTCACCCATTCATTTCACAAATACTCATGCCCCATCATGCATACTGGAGTTTTGGTGTGGTGCTGTAGACTAAGCACTGGACTGCTAACTGCAAGGTCAGTGGTTCAAAATCCTATACAACCTCCTCGAAAGCCCTATACACATGGTCACTATGATTCGGAACCAACCCCACAGCACTTAACAACACCACACACACTAGTGGGGTGTGGGACAAAGAGCACCAAATACAAGGTGTGCTATGGAAAAGACACTTCACCTGTCATCTGTAATGAGACTTTTAACATCTTTTCACTTTAAACTTTAAATTAGTATTTATACCAATAAACCAAACCCACTGCCACTGGGTCAATTCTGATTCATAGCAACCTTAGAGGATGGAGTAGAACTGCTCGATAGGGCTTCTCAGACTGTCATCTTTACAGAAGCAGACTGCCTCCCTCATCTTTGTCCCAAGGAGCAGTTGGTGGGTTTGAACCACTGACCTTTGGCTAGCAGCGAGCACTTAACCACATTGCCCCAGGGCTCCTGCTAAAATCAGCATTTAAGAACATAAACATCGAAGACTACATAAGTGTGCTCACTATGTGGTCAGTATCTCTGGGTTTGAATTTCTGTCCTTTGTGTACTTTCTCAGTTACCCAAATTCACTGTTCATGAGTCATTTATAAGGTTGGAGAAGAAAGGAAGATCCCCACACACAAGCACCAAGTGACCTCCTCACTGTCTTTCTCCCCTGCTGGGAAGCCACAAGTGGCCCTTCTACACCCAGCCCTGGTAGTGCCCGTGAGAGCCAACACTTGTTCACACACAACACTGCACAGTGCTCCAGAGCTGCTCTAACAGAAATATCACCCGTGGGTGGCTTTAAGGCTTTAACACACGGAAACTGATTCCGTTTCAGAGGCCCAACATTCAAATTCAGGACGACAGCTCTAGGGGAAGATGCTCTCTGTTCTGTGGGAAGGGCCTCGCTACTTGGTGATTTCAGGTGGTATGGTGTCTGCTTCCCCCCATCCCTGTTTGTTCAATCTCCTTCATATCTCAAAAGAAACTGTTTTGACACACCCTCCATTAATTGTTTCATTAACATAAGGACAATCCAATCTCAATGAGCTTATAAACACAATATGGATGGTGGTGCTGTGGAGTTGATTCCGCCTCATATAGGCCCTCCATACAGTTTCCGAGGCTGTAAATCTTTATGGGAGCAAAAAGCTTCACCGGTTTCTCAAGGAGCACATGGTGGACTCAAACTGCTAGCCGTGCAGTTAGTAGTCCAACTATAACCCACTATGCTACCAAGGCTCCTTAAATACAATAGAGGAATTAGGACTTATAAGATCTATTTCTGGGAGGAACAAGTCAATTCATAACAGACTGCTGACACAAGTCAGGCACTATGGAGCAGACACACGGTGCCTGCCAGCACAGTGTAGGTGACAGACATGTCCAATGAACACCAGCATAACACTCACACGCTGGAATCCAGACCCAAGGAAGTCACTTATGACAGGCAACCGTCCTGGAATTCATCACTCAGCAGGAGCTGATGTGGCACATACAGTGTGAGGAGGGCCACAGTGAGCTAGCAGAGGAGAGCTGGAGGAGGAGGGACACCCAATCCACTCTGGAGTCAAGGCAGGGACCCCCAGTCAGCTAAGACCTGAGGCTGGGTAGGAGTTAGCCAGGGGAGGTAAAGCGTACCCACGGGCTGAGGAAACCCTTGAAAGTTCAGCCACGCTGATCATCAAGCATACAAAGCTTAGCAAGGAAATTGAGAGACACATGTAGATCCAACAAAGAACCACAGACCAGGGAAACAAATTGGAAAAGGATCCTAAGCTCAGGGGTAGAAGCCATGGAAGGGCTTTAAGCCAAGGAGGCATCACTGTATCTGCATGTGACAAAGGCAATTCCAGCTGC